GTTCATCCGACCGCGACACTCGGGCTTCAGCCTCTGCCCTACGGCACGTCTGTTGCCCGCCGTCACTGAGGCTGCCTGTGGCGTTTACAGCCTGAAGCGCGCCGACTTCTTTGTGCCCGGCTGTCGCGCTGATGGTCTCTAACTGAAGTTAAACAGCTGTAGTTCCAGCTAAAGGCTCAGCCGCTCTCTAACCTTTTCCGTTCGTCTGTCAGGTTGAACGTGGAAGGCCTGTTGATTTCCAAGAGTACTCGCTGTCATAATGAAGCCAGATTTCGGTAGCTGTTATTGAATTATGCTTTTATTTACTTAAGCTTTGCTCTTCTTGGCCCCTAGCAACATTGCTATCAGTGCTGCTGGCAGCAGCTGCTTCTTGTGTTCAGCCAGCTGTTTATTGTGAACAGGCCTCTGTACCGTGCTTAACTCCGAAAATAACCGAGTTGCCTTAGTGACAGGCAATTTATAAACTCATCCTTAAGACTGCGCACGAGTCTGGAGTGGACCAGTAGTTCATCTCATAGGTCCCATCGTTAACCTAGGAACTTGCAGTGCAATTGTATAGTCAACAAAGCTTGAGTTGTCTTATTGTGTATGTGCTTGAAAATGATGTTAACACAGTTGTGCAGTAAAAGAGCCCAATGTTGCACCCAGCAAATTACAAGTTCTGTTAAGAGAAATGGAGTTCAGCGGTCGGTCACGCCGAGGAGGAAAAGTTGTTTCAGCTTGGCTGCCTGGTTTTGTTACATGATCTCAGTACTATCCACAGGTACTTCCAATTACTGGAGTGTATCTAAAGAAATGGATGTTTATTTATATGACCAAAATACACGGCAAAGTAAATTAGCTTTAGAACTGCAAGCTGATTTCTGTATATAATTGTACATGGAAATGAGTCATAGTTCCATTTAAAGATTTTGCCAGGGAATGTATACATAAATAAAACCGGTACAATGCCCAACACCCAAAAGTAGCTAAACAACAATACTACCAATTAGAGTTTCGCCTTCATTATAGTAAAGAAAGGTTTAGCATTTGCCTAGGAAGAATACTAACGGTACTATACTGGACTACATTGAACATACCAGGGAAAAAGCAACACTGCTCCTGTAAGGAAAGTCAGTTTGCATCTTTCAAAGCTGATGTATTTTTGCAAATGTTGGTTAACAAAGAATTTTTTAAAAAATGGCAGGCTAGGGTTCCTCACCCCTAAATATAGGCAATGGAGGCACTTACATTTGTTGTTGCTCTACAGTCTTTGTGCAACCAAGAGAGGTAAGTGGGCTGATTCACCCTTGAAGCTGCCAGTTGACTGCAGAGGAGGTTGAAGATCACTATTTTCTTAAGTGATGTGATTCAGTCATTTTCTTTCTAAGGGAAGGAAATCACAGCAAAGGAGGAAAACTTGCGGTCTAATTTTGTCGATGCAGAACTAGTGGATTTTACCTGTGGATAGCACGGGGGTCATGTAACAAAATTCACATATAACTTAAAATAAACCTTAAGCAAGCAAGCAAGCGGTTGCTCTGACATCATGAACAGGTCTGATTTCTATTATGAGTGAAATGTCCTGATATTCATTAGGCTTTCCTCATGTCCTACAGTTTTTAAATAGAGTTTCAGAGTAAGACTAAAACTGGAAAAAAAGTGAATGACTATTAGTCAAAAGTTAATATTGGGATTTTCTAGCTATGGTTACTGGGATAGTGTATTTGTTCACAATTTAAAGAAAGGACCCCAATTTTTTCAGCTGCCACACCAGAAAGGCAAGTGCTGCAACATGGGCTATAGCTCAGAATCTCTCCATGTTCTGCTACAGGAATGGAAGCATTTTTCCCCAAAGAGACTGCTGCTTTCAGTTTTGAAGTGCAACTCATCAAAGGAGGTCCTTTGTGGAAAGAGTTTTCTAGTCTCAAAAAGCAGGAAAGTTTACTTCCAGAGACCACCGACATCAACAGCGAAAAAACTATATTCTGCTTTAAAAGTGAAAACAAAGATTCTTGCAACATTATAGAAAACATTTAGGAGGAACAGATGACAGGTATATCCTAAAAAAAGACTAAATATTCTATATTATCCAGTTTTATAATACATAAATGTTCTTACTTTTTACAGTGATCAAAGATTACAAATCTAAAACATTTAATGTGTACATGTTAAATGTAGAACTACTCAAACCAGTTAAAAAATAATCCAAGCTTTTTCTTCTAAAGGAACAGATCATGAGAAAACCAGATGTGAACATTTATTTAGACTAAATTAGAATGTTAAAAATTCTGTAATATTGACCCATGTAATTTATTGCCGGTACTTCTCAAAGGACTAGTATTTTCCTTGAAGTCTCAGGTAGATCTAGTACACATATGCTGAAGTAACTGGAAAATGCAAAAGGAAGGAGTCAAACTGATAAGGCAGTTTCTGTGTTGGCACTGATTGCAGCTTGGTTTTAAATCATCTTTGGGCTTTCTTTTTTTTCCAAGTATACCTTCTGGGTACAATTCCTGCCGCAGAAAAAAAAGCCATGCAGTTCTCAGGACATAATTCTTCCCTGTGCTATGAGATCGTGTCAGGTGGGTCAGATAGAGCAGTTTTCTGCTAACCTGGAAAATTCACTGACATTCAAACTCTTATCACACAAGTAAATGGCACAGTCCAGACTGAAGGGCCAAACCTGGCCTTAAGACTGATTATTATGATGACGTTCTGACGAAATGTAGGGTTCTTCTGCATTTTGCCCCTGTATCAAGTATAGCCTGTTACTTCTTTCCTCCACAGGAAAACACAGTAAGCATTAAAATATTATACTCTTCATTGTTTCCTCTTTGACCTTTTATTGTTCTTTCTGAATAAAACTAAACGTTCGAGGGAATTAGTTACACCAAGTGCTGATAATGAGATTTAACGTGTCAGAGTGCAGAGAGAGAGCTCCTGAGAGCCCAAAGATTTTCCCACCATTGTAAATAATACTATGCAACTTCATGCTAATTCTATACCTCCTTACTTGGAGTTGTCTGTTGAGCTAGGAAAGACTGCATGCGTGAGCAGAGACTTTGCAGAACTCTCTGCACAACTGGACTCATGAATATGTGCACTTTTAGCTTTTTCCAGAATACCAGACACCGCAAAGATCAGGAATACAATGACATTGTGATGATGCAAGTATTAATCCTGTATTAATTCCAAATGCCAGATACTAACTTTTTTTAGGAATACATTTTACAGAGTTGTCAATGCCATTTGGTAGAAAATAATTTTTTTCTTAGTTTCTTCCAGTTGGTTTGGGGCATTTTTTTGTTTGGTTGGTTCTTGTTTTTAAGAGACTGATTTGGTAGTGGAACAGCTGCTGACTGTGGCAGACAGGGTAACTGAGTGCTTCTTCACTTTCTTCTCCCTTCCGCAAGACAAATGCCTACTAGCAAAAAGCCAATGGGCACACCTTTTACTGAACAGGTAAAGTAAATGCAGATACTATCATCTTCTAATTACTGTTCAGTTATTAATTCCATATGTAAAAATGTACAAATGAAGTGGAGGATGGGAGAAAAAGGCTGAGCCCTTGCAAAGCATGCAAGAAAAAATACGCAACACTCACTTCAGAACATTGTAACAAAATGAGCTAGTGTATTTTATTTTGGGTAACAGCCAAGAAATCTGACATTTTGCCCAATATGGCTTTCTTCTAAAATTAAAAAGTTGCATATACCTACAGTTGAGTCGACCAGCTACAGAAAATCTGCTGTATACATCTTTAATCCACGGCAGCATCACCAGAATACAGCTTTCAGTGGAGTTTTCAAGCTGAATTATAAGATAGAAGTTTTAAAATGTTCAGTTGTAAGGTTTTATATTGTTTATATGAAAACATACAAATTTTTCATTTATACATATACTACATATAAAATTCATTTTAATTAGCAAGTATCTTCATCTGGGTATTTACCTTTGTGCATACAGCGAAAAAAGGATGTAGTCAGGGCTTCGGATGAAATATTAAAGTTCAAGACCTTTGTATATGCTAACTAAAACCTTATTCAAATAACTCAAACATTTTTTCCTGCTTTTAAAAGATAAGAGATTCAGCTTAAAAATACATTCATAAAACAAAGAGACAATTTTCTCCCTGAGACTACCAGTGTGAGTTACTTTGTGGTAATCTTTGAATGAAAAAATATAAAAAAGACAATAAGCTCTACTTTTCTATATGCTCCAGCAAGTTCCTCCAGCAACACTGGCATCATAAAAGGTGTAGATTGAAGAATCATGCTCACTAGCTGAAAAAACATTTTCATATATCAGTTTAAGAAGAAGAAAAAACTTTAATATAGACAAGGAAAGGTAATTAAGTTTTAATGAAAGTTCTGTATCTGTAGTATGTATAAATGGGAAAAAGTTGTGTGGTTCGGGGTTTGGTCTTTTTTTTTTTTTTTTTTTTTTTTTTTAACATTAATTTTATCCAAAGCGGGACTATATGCTCAAAATGTAGATTCTTGATTTATGCAGAGATACTTAGTACAGTATTCAAAATGTTTCAAGCATGTTTTTGTTAATAGTCATAAAAGAAATACATAACTTGTGGGAACAATTTCTGCTTAAATTCAATGATAAAATGTTTGATTATAACTAGACGGTAAAATCTCATGAGCAACAGGTAAGGAGTCAACCCCCCACTGAACAGCTCCTGGTTTGTGGCTTTTTTCACCCTCTTGTCAAAATTACTCTGCTCTGAAGACTAGCAGCTACACTAGTTCTGATTTATTTCACATTCTTCCTTTTAAATGTTAGAAAGGGACAGTTTTGAAACCGCTACAAAGTAACAGAATAGAATTGGGATGCATTGAACATATCCTGCCCAAACTGGAGAGAGAGCAAGATACATACTACTTTTTCCTTTTACAATTTGAATTGTACTTATAGTAACCATGCAATTACGTTATTCCGGGGGGAAAAGCCTTACCTGAAAGCAAAGAAAAAACATTTATAGGAAAAAGGGGGAAAGCATTATGTTTGTTCTACCAAAATTTATTATGTAGTAATTACAAAGTTTAAAGATTCTTCCATTTTAAATAAAAATAATAGTTATAATTACACACATTATATAGTACCATGTCAAGTGATTCCAACAAACATAACATGAAATACAGTGCAGTTTCAAATCAGAAAGACAAATACTTTCTCATTCACAGTGTTTGACAAATTACAGGAAAGCTTGTTCACATGAGGGTTTACTTAAGTCATGCTCTTACAAACAGTCCACATCACGCTGTGCCACAAAAACAAATCATCTCTCAGAACGTGAAGTATCGGGCAAGCCACTCCTGGCGTTGTGGATCTGGTGAAGCCACTGGTGAAGCGTCAGTCTGAGGAGGGCTAAATTCACAGAAAGGAAAAAAAAAACAACCAATTATCCCACAGCTACACAAAAAGTACAAATGCTAGGAGAAAAAAAAAACCCAGAGAATATTCAGTAAAGAACACAGTCTGTTCTTCCATGGGGTAATTATCAGTGTGCCTCAGGACATGACTGAATGTCTCCCTACAGAATCTGTGATCATCCACTCCATTGGAGAGCATCAGCAGCACGGACAAGTCAGTTCAGAAGCCACATTACAGGGTGGGCAAATAATATTTTGGAAAACATAATTTAAAATCTCATAAACAGCTGTAGGTTTTTGGGAAGAATAAAAAGGGTTTTCTTGGAAAAGCGTGACTGTAGAAGGTCCTCTTTTAGCATCCTTTTCCTGTGGTAGAGTTAATTTTCAAAAATATGATGCGAGCATCATATTTGTAGACATGTGCTCACAAAGACTGGTTGGCAACTGAACAAAAATACACACTATTTTAATACTTAACACCGATTACAAATATCACTTGCATTGTTGTTCATGCACACATTTCAGATATGCTAATATACTAGGAAAAAAGAAACTGCTGCAGTGCAAACAAGATTTGTTTCCCCCTTGAACACTTAAAATTCTCACAAAATGAGCAAGAGAGAATGCTGATATCTCATTTAAACTGAATTACACAGTTAAGTTCCTTTATCAATAAAAATTGGTAATAAAATAATCCCTACTGTATTACTGGATAATACAGAGCACAAAAGAGTTTGGAATGGGAACGCCAGCATCACAGTCCATGAGTTCATGCACATGCACGTTATTGATACCTGAGCACACTCATGCACATCACATGCACAGGAAAAAAGAAGCAACAGTGTTTTTTTTTAAAAAAGATTGTTTTCTTGAAATAGACTGTTTCCCTCATCTATTTTTAGATTCCATTATTCTTTTCCTTTTATAATTAGTAGTTGCTAGGTATGTGGTCTTTCACATTAAGCCAAAAGAGAGAGTAAACTACCAACTGTGGAACTGGTAATTACACGTTGCTTTAAGTTGCCAACTTAGAGGTAAGAGATCAGCACCTACTAAATATAGAGTACAGGACTTCAGTGCAGTTAATATGTAGGTACATAAGGCTAAAAGATGAAAATCCTGCCTCTAAAATGCCATTTTAATGTTATTCAATCACTATATTACTTTGCGAGATAATTACTTGAGACTTTAATGCTGGTTTTGATTACTGGAAGCTCAGCATTAAGCATCCCAGCATGTACATTTCCTGCTGCTGTAGTAAGGTTACTCCTGTGAAACAATTTGATATGGGTGAGGAAAGGGGAAACACAAAACATTCATGTAGCACAGAAAATCGTTTTCTTACGTAAAAACCATTATAATAGCAAATAAAAGAAATTCTGTGCTAGTATCAATTCCTAAATGACAATCAGTAAATAACACAAACATTTAAAACAATTGTTCATATATGTAAACAATTGGAAGCACATGAATTCTATTAAAGTATCTAAAGAGGTTTTCAAAGTTCAAGACTTAGGAGAAAGTGAGAGAATACTTCACATTTCAACAAGGTCTACAATAAAAAGGAATACTGTAAAGAGGTTACAAATATAATGTAAAAATTAAAAATGCCATAAAAGTACCTCTGAAAGGTTCATAAAGCAAGTGGGATTCAGCTCAATAGGAATGCAAAATTTTCCTGAGTTAAGCAAAAAAAAAAGAAAAAAAAAAGATTGGTGAGGCAGTGCTAACCTCAAAAACGTCTTGGGCTCTTTGGGTGGTATTGGCTGTGGCAGTGGTTTGCTGCTGTTGAACTCAATATCGTGGATGGGTGAGTTAGGAATGGGGTCCAGGCGGTTAGGATGTCCATTGCCCACCACTCCGCTAGATTCCAGAGCACTTAGATTGGGGACACTCACAAACCTGTTTGTTGATTTATCGTTCTTCTTCTTTTGCTGCATTAAAAATAACAAATGTAAGGAAGGCTTCTCGCACCAGGACAGATGAGGAAATTTGCAAATATAAAAGCTATATTGATGGCTGGTTCGGGTTTTTTTGAAGGCGATCAGTTGGGACGGATTGGGCTTTTTTCCCAATTGTAGTTTGACCATTTGCTTTGACCAGAACTGAACACCACGAATTTTTGCAGAAAAATTCAATTTCTGATCAAGATGATTAAGTTGTTATGACTTAGTGTAATAATCAATGAATATATTATACGAGATCTTCCAATAGAACATTTTGCTCTAAGACATTCGAGATAGGAGGTTTTCTACAAAATTGCTTTTTCATCTTTCCTTGATACCAGTGAAACAGCTCTGCTCTCAAATGTAATTACAGCAAATTTCAATGATGAAAAAAGTGAATCTCTCCAAGAGCTTTCACCCTGTCACTGAGGTGCATTTTGGTAACTGGAACATGGAACCTAGAAAAGCAGCTACATTTCTTTTAAAACAATTATGCCCTTATAGTTAGCAAGAACTATAGCAATATTGCTAAAGATAAAAAGATTACTGTATAGGAGTTCAGTTTCTTGCACAAGGAAAAGGCCAGGCTTCTCATGCTACTACAGCTGCCACTTCTAGACACCAGATGGCACAACTGAACATTTTTCTTTTCTTAATACTCTCTATACTCCTACTGATAGTATTTCAAGGGACTCAAAATACTGAAGAATTTTATTTTTATATCACTATTTTACTCTCCATAACACATCAGACTAAGGAATCGGTATTTATCTTCTCTACTTTTATAGATATTTTAACGTAGAAAGATGCTTCAAATAATTCTATAGCTGTGTGACAGAACACCATGTGTATTTTCTAACTTTATCAACTATTCCATGTCCACAATAAAATATTAATATTAAAAAAGCCTTATTTCCAAAAGTAGGACTTTTGAATGAATGGATTCATTTATTCTCATGACTTATGTATTGCTTGAATAGATAATAAATACTTTCATTCAGTTACATATATGCAACCCTAACAAAGCAGCTAGGAGTAAAACCCCTTAAGGACTTATGAACTACACAAATTTGAACTAAATAAAGTGAAAGACAAGTGGAATCTCATGTTGTTTCTATACAATATTTTCCAGCAGAATTCCACGAAACAGAAGAGCTGCTCTGTTCAAGGGTGGGCACGAGTTCAAATGGAGACAGACAGAGTCCTGTTGGTTGTTTGTACTTTCTTCTATTTAGCGCTCTGCTAGCTTTGATTTCGGTGCCTGACCTCTCCAGGGCTGGTAGGTGCAAATGCTACTAACTGTAGCTACACTGGTGGATGTGTTTATCAAAATACAATTAAAAAACCCCAACAATTTAACAGAAAGCTGTAATAGAAAAAAGTCTTCTTTAAGCATCAAAGATCATTAGCTGCAAAGGATTAAACTAAGATCGTCCCATACACTGTACTAGTTCTGTAGTAGCTGAAGAAGCAAGAAATAACATTATGGTGGAAAAAATAGTTTGGAAAAAGTAACCACCTGTATGTAAAATGCATCTGCAAGGTAATATACACCATCATTAAAACTGTGTGTTAAACACACCGTAGTTAAATCTGTGTGCTTCATAGGTGGGCTCATTTCTGGAAAATGTGTATTCTCCACATAAGCGCTTAGAAAAATACTACAGTTTCTATCTTATTCTCTATAAAACAATCTGTGCTTCTGAAGCAGTCAAATCTGGAGAGAGAAAATTGTGTGTATTGTTTCCATGAAATTCATGCAAAGTATTAAGAAACTTCAGATGTGAAAATGTAATGCTGAACAGATCCATTGCATAAATTACAGAAGCTGTAATACATAGTGCAATGGCTGTAATTTTGCATTAATATGCAAAGCCCGTAGCAACTCATAAATTCTGTCTTTTTATTACAAAAAAGAAAAGAGAATGAGATTTTCAGTTTCTTTGTAATTCATTTTCCAATAACACAGTACGTGCTTTGACAAAATGAAGTAACATAGTCCACAACTCATGAAATGAGAGATCAAAATGTTCTGGCATACAAGACGGTTTTAAAGTCTAAACAGTTTTAAGTGATAGAAGCATATAATATAAATATATGAATTATCACTACGGAAATCTGATACTGAATAACTTTTCCCAAACACTTCAGATTTCACACAAAACACAAGCTTATGTACTCGATGGTTACATTTCACATCTTTATAAATGAGTGGTTCAGACAAACCTCCAAAATTTTCAAACAACCTTTATCACATAAAAACAAAGCATTCAAATTGTATCTGGCAGTCCTGGTATTGTCTCCACTGGGCCCAAACTAAGCTCTTTTATGCAGTTATGCATAAACGTGAGGCATCTGCAGATAAGCTTGTGAGAACTGTTGGGCTCCTGAAAAACGTAGGAGAATATTGACAGTTTGCAGCAGAGTTTGCGCAGAAGTGGGAAATACGCTGATCTGATGTGAAACTACAGTGAGGCTTAGCTAAATAACACAGCCTGATCTCAGATAACAGCCAGACCTCCTTTTAAGTAACGGAGCCTGAACCTGTCACTGAAGCTCTCGGGCACCTGAGCTGCTCATGTTGTGCCCCTTGGGTTACCCTCTGCTTCAGAATCTTCCCGAGTTCTTCCACCTCTACAGCTGGGACAAAGCTCCTCCCTTTCCATGCAAGTGAAATAACTTATGGGTTATCACAAGGGGGAAGGAAATGTCAGAGGACTCATTCTTACCCCTGAAGTGGTGAAAACAAATAGAATTAAGGTACCCTACCACAGTCTGTTCGCATTCCTCATGAAGGAATGCTGCTGGCTTTTGAAGTGACAGGGAGGCTGCTATGCCTGCTTGTACAGTAGCCTTCACTGGCCGCTATTCAGCCAGATGGAGAGAAGTGGAAAAGGTTGCTACTGAAGTGTTTTCGCTCGTCCAGGAGGTGACAATAACTGAGAAGGCTAGAGACTGACGTCTGTCTCCTGCTGCCCCCACAGTCCATACCTCGTTTGTCACCCCAGTTCTCCAGTATTACTGTCTTTCTCCATTCAGACTCATTCCACGCCCTTCTCCTATTCTTCTCCTTCCCCTTTTTACCCTTATTCCCTTCCTTTAGCGTCCCCTCTCCATCTTTCTAATGCTTTTCCATCCTGAGCACCACCTGAAAAATGAAATTGCCCTGGCACTTTCCAAAATAACTGAGAAAAATTATGAAACTAAAAACTGGTTGCGGGTGTCACTGTTCTCTATTACATGCTACAGTCCTGCCCTCTGTTGCCTTTCTGTCACTTTTCTATTTTGATTTTGCAGTTTTGTGAGAAGGAACTGTGTTTTATGTCATACATGTCTAGCAAACTAGGGCAACGGTATCAGTGGATCTCTCAACAACACAAAAGAAACAAACCTACACAAAAATAAGTAGAGACAAATGGAAAACTATGTTCCTTGTTTTGAACGTGTCTTTTAAGAGTGATATATGTATACACACAGGCATGCACACATACACATATATTTCTTCTTTTTACTATATCCTAAGTTTAGATTTCTTTTTCTTCACTTTAGCAATGAAGTCCATGGAACATACCTTCACCAATGGATTAATAACACCAACATTAGGGCTTGCATTAAACATTTTGTTGTAGTTAGTCTCCCTGTTAACTAGCTCCAGCTGATAGAACTTTTTGTCCTCCTAAAAAGAAGAACAAATAGAAACTTCTTTTTATGCATTTTCAGTCAGTTAGTGGCCAAATCTGCCTATAAAATGATCTCAAATAAATTTATGTTTATGTTTCTAAAGAAACTGGTAATTCTAAAAATTGCATTTCATATTTAATGTATTTTATATATTATTATATGTAAATACTAGATTATTTCTATTTATGCAGTTCCGTTGCAGTTCTATGCTCCTGAGAGTGAACATAGCCTAATGGATTATGCACTGGGTAAGACTCAGTATAGTTAACTTCTGATCTCTAATTACTTTGAATTTCCTTATTCCTTCTTGCCTCTGAATCAGGATCTAATCAGGCTAATCTGAGTCAGGGCGTTGTGCTCTGAATTTGGGAAGCGCAGTGGATCAGGAAATTGGTCTTAGAAATCTCACAGATGAGACCGTTTCTTATACGGCTTACATGGCTGGCTTATTCCAGGATTGGAGATAGGAGACATGTGATCAAGGTCATACTGAAATATTTTTTTAATAATGTATTATGCTTGATTGTGCAAAACTCTCTGTATCTAATTAGTTTTACTGTTGTGAGTCATTGGAACCACAGGAATAATCTGTTAAAGAATATGAATAACATGCTAGCAGGATTGGTTCTTTAAATACATTTCAAACACTTTGAATTAGATTAACTTTTATATCTGTCAAGATATTAAACCAAGAGAGCATAAAAGTCTTACAATCAATTTCTTTATAAGCTGGTCCCGCTCTGCAATTAGGTCTTTCAGTTCTGAAATAAGCTGCAAGTCTTCTGGTCTTGATTCTCTGTTTTTATATTTTTCTTCCATTTCTTCTAAACTTTATAGGAAAGAATACCGCCATTAGCGTGTTAAATGATGAGTGAATAGTCACATCTTTGATTAGTACAAAAGAGAGTTCAGGGAGTAAAAACAGAAGATGACTTTCTTATCACCTTGAAGTAAATTAATTTCTATGTTATCATTCAGCTTTAGCCGGTTAAAAAAAAAATCAACAATAACCATAACTTTTGTTCCAGTAATTTTGCCCAATAATCTGGGCAAAATTCTAAAAACATAACATCCTTCTTGTGCATGCAGTACTAAGTGTTTGAAAAAAGGCTTCTTGGAAGTCAAATTGAAAATAAGGCATTCAAAACCATAATATGGACAGTAGAATTACAGAGTACGTAGCTAAGATTGATTCTCATGTAAAATATAGGGACTACATTGTGTTATACTTAATGTTAATGTAAATTTTAAAAGCTGGCAATTCACTTTCTTGATGAGGAAAACAAACAGTATCATTGCTCTTTTCATAGACGACTACTCTGAATAAAGATGCATGCTTGTGATACTGGAGAAACTGGACAGACAGACAAGGCTGGCACCGTCTTCCTCAGTTCATGTGGAACATACTGGGACAAAGATATCCAAGAACAGTGAAGACTAATGGGTAACTAATTCCTCTCCACAAAAGCAACTTAGTACCATTAGAGATGGAATAAAGGAATGAGCTGCAAAAGAAAAGCAATAACACTTGGATATTAGGATATCTGGATCAAGAGAAATGTAACAACTGATAAACATTTGAAAAAAATAGAAGGAAATTTGAAATGCCTGATGGGAAAGCATTAAAGGAGAGAAGTGAAATAAGCCAACTGAGAAAGGAATTGTACAAGTAACTGCATGTATCTCCTTGTTTTTTCTTAAAGAACAAGTTTTGAAAACATGACATTTTAAATGACTGTGTCTCTTTGAAACATTGTTCCAAAGGAAACTACTAAAATACTTGTCTCATATTCAGCCCTCATGTAGATTAGTGAACCAAGTTTCAGAACAGATTCAGGAAGTTTAACAAACTTAATGAAAAAAGAAATAAAAAAAAAAAAATCCAAAACAAACCCTGATAAAAATCTATGAATTTAAGGTGTCTAAGTCAGCTCAAACTTAATTCCACAAGACACCTGGAAGGAGACATAATTTCTCACTTTAGATATATATATATTTTCCCTTCAGAAGCAGCTATGTGATTTTTACTTTGAGTTGCATCTGAAAAAATCAGTTCATATTAAATTGTATTTATAACCTTCAAATAACCTGTACATAATCTGAGGAGATTACATAATGTATTTACATAAAACATTATGAATTTGAACAACATGACTGTTTTTATTTGCAGAAAAGGCATTTGACTCAGCAGAACAGAAATATGCTCAGCTGGCTTAATTTTTCTGCATACGTTTTATGCTGGGTTAAGCTATTGTATACAGATCCCCAGAGAACAGTACATAGTTCCGCACACCTGTCATTTTATTTTCAGATATTTCAGAGAACTGTTTTTTTTTCTCTTTCAAAGACATAATATGTAATTTAAAGACTCTAGTTGTGGAGCTTAATTAATGATACCCACTCTCAATTACTCTAAGATAGATTCTCCATTTCATAAATGTTCACGAGGCCGTGCTTTAGGTGAGGCCAAACCTCAAAACAGTTACTTAAGAAATGGCTGCATAAAACTCTTTTTTTTTTTTTTTTTGACATAGTTTCCTCTTTTGACAGTTTTTGACAGTTCCTTGCTTCAGTGTAAGTAGAGAGAGATAACACACTGAAAGCCAGGCCAGGGCACCCTGGGTAATGTTTGCTGTCTGTAGGCCAGCGGCTGCTTCCTCGCAGCTCTAAGTTGAGCAAGAACCAGGAGCAGGGAACCAACTAAATTCAGAAAATTTCAGGACACTGAAAACCAAACAACTTCATGGGAGAAAAAGTTAGGGTAAACAGTTCCAAAACCTAGTTCTGGTGGCTGCTCATAGGCATGTTTCTTATATAAGATAAATGCAGTAAACAGGAGGTAGTTTACACCTAATTTACTGAATGGCAAGTTACCACATTTATCAGGGCACAAGAGTGTGCATGTGGGCGATTACAAGGGATTAAGAACTAGAATTTTATACCCATCTTATTTGAAGACAATTTCTGAGTGCTCATCATCAATAAAGAATTAGATGCATTTGGCTTTATTGTTCTTTTTTAGTTGATATTTACTTAAACAAGTTTTCTATCATATACTTAGAAGCAAGTATTTTCTCTGCCATAAATCTTTTGTGCTGCAGATACAAATCCCTCAGTGACAACATTGTGTCAGGAAGGCCTCAATGCACTATAAAACCTCAGCCAGAAGCCCCTGAGCAAATGGGTTACGTCACACACAGAGATAAGGAATGAAGGATGTGGAAGACAGGAAAACACCGGCTAGACAACACACTACTGCACCACTTCTGCCCAGAGGTGGTCTAACCCCAGGTGGCATTTTGACTCACATAATCCATTTCAGACACTAAGTTTCCTTATGTTAGCAAACCTGAAAATGTTTGTATCATTCATGTGCTATAATCAGACTTCTTAAGAGCAAGTATTGTACTGTTTATAAACTTGTTGAAGAAACTCTTGTGTTCTTAAAAAAGATGTATTAAAGTTTGAGAAAAAACATTTGAAATAACATTTTCACCAATTTTCTAAGAACGCCACAGATTTAATATCCTTCCTCCTCAAAGGTAGGTCTCAAATCCCTAGCAATTTATCTCACTAAATTCCCTTAAAGCTTGTAGAATTGTGTTGCCTAAAAAATGCAAGGTTAGGCCCCATATGTGATTGAGGTTTTTGCATATCTGCATCTTCAGCAACTTACGGACACCAGAATAAACTATTCACTCAAACGCAGCTACATATAAGGTTTTTTAATGCAACAAAACTTACGAAAATTGTAAAGCTGAATTAATTTCCTTGAGCAGCTCTTGGGTCTTATTAAAATCTGCCAGCATGCTTTGTTTCTCTCTGATGTGATCTGCTGTCAAGACATCCAGCTCTTTCTCATGTTTCTTGCTTAAATCTTGCTCATGCATCCTGTTTAATTTATTTTTTGTTAAAAAGAGTTATTCTAAAATCAGACTTGTTTGTTCATCATGATTTTCTGCCATGCTTCTAATGGCTTTTACACAGTATCAGACAACACAAAAGGAATTACTGATTCATTAAAACCCACTACTTGCTGTCCTCCAATCTTCTAGCTTATTTCATAGAAAATGCATCTCCTTTAATGCTTTTTTAAATAAACAAGCATAATGAATTTAAAAAAAAACCACCAAAACCCAACACTTGAGTGGACTGTTACTAAAATATGCCAAAATGTATCACTGAAATGCAGCTTAACCGTATGGTAATATTCACTAACTTTACTAGTAATGGGCATAGCTTTTTCTAAAGAAGACTAAATGATACAAAACATCACTTGATTAAGAGGATAAATTAAAAGCTGCAAATGGTAAAATTTCTTAAGTAAAACAATATGTGAAACGATACACAGTTGAGTTTAGAGTGGAAAAACTCATACCTGATCTGTTGGTTGGATTCACTGCGTATTCTAAGAACTTCTTTCCCTTTAAACTCTAATTCCTTAGTCAATGCACTTATATTTTCATGGAGATGCAGAATCTCTTTGTCCAGTTCAGCTATATGATGGTCTCGGTGTCTCAGTTCATCTTGTAGATCTGATATTCGGCATAAAAATTCTTTCTCCTATGATATAAGTAGCAGCAACAAAATATATTTTAGACTTGTCTCTCAATCACAATACTTGCTTTTGGAAGGTAACAGCTGAGCAGAATTTTCCATTTGATAGACAATTTTTTCACTTTTTGATGCTGACACAAATTGTAATTATAACTGAGGGGTTTTTTACTGTGTACAAGCACAAATAAAGAAGAAATCAAAGTTATGTAACAAACAATTTTCATTTGCAAGAAAATTTAAAACCAGTCATTGTCATGGCCTGTTGAAGTTCGCATAGCTCATCGCATTTTCCTTTTGCCCACACGTACAACAGAAAACCAGATACCACTAAGAACTGGGGGTCTGGGCATTTAGCATTTTCTGCCTCTCCAATGTATGATATAGAGAAACTGGTTTTCCCTTTGCAACCCCATACAATGGGACAAAATAGTTCAAGACATATGCCCTGCACCAAGGAACACTATGATTCAGAAGTCTCCTATCTTATGTATATATAAATATAAGGGTCATAAGTATCTCACAGCATAATATGTGCTAAATAGTTTATATAATATTTATATTGTGTCCAATAAATCAATAAAAGTCATTCTTTCTGCATAAGAAATTCCATTGAAGTTAACATCTGGGAAACTCATCTGGAACCCAACCCAATGGTTTTGATAATGATTGTCCTCAGTTTAGAAAAAGTCTGTAATAAAATCAACCTTTTTCAGAGTTTTCCATTTCTATCTATTTCACTTGTTACAATTTCACAATAACTAATGACCATATAGGTTGCACAGATAGCAAATCAGCAGATATTTCAAAGTAGTCTTATGTGTAATTGTGTTTTGTGCCTTCAAACATCCAGGAAATAAAAATATATCCTAATGCACAAATTTTATAGGACAACTTTAAGAACAGACCTTTAAAAATAACTCTCTACCTCCCTACAGAAAGATTATATTAAAGTTACAAGAAAAAGCCGTGGAAAATTTATATCCACATATTTAAATATTTCAAAAAGCAGCAAATACAGTCATCCTGCTCAGACCTCTCTGCATCTAGTTCAGCTCTGACCCTGTGAACTGATGAGCATTTTAACACAGGAAAACACAATTAATTGCTTTGCCCTCAGTACAACTAAAGCTCGTGCTTAGCACATCATTGTACTGAGGCCAAGAGGACATGGCATCTGGTTGGATCAAACACTTGCTCTTGTAATTTAAACTTTTTCTTCCAACATCTCCTTTAGGTGTCTCACTCTAGGCTTAAACAACACACGACTGAAACTATATCCTCCTAAATCCTGCATGTTTTCGTTGACTGCTGTCAGCACAACATTTTTGCCTCTAGTGCTCATGCTTTTAAACGAGCAAGGAAGATTAAAAAGAAGGGCTCATCTTTGACTGTCTCTGGTTTTGTGTAAAGGCTATATACAACTAAACCTGTTGTCTCTGTTAATATATTTCTAAACCCACACCACCTCCTTGGTGCTGGACTACCAGTAAATCAATCCTGAAAAGCCTATAAAAAAAAATAGAAAAGCAAATAGAAATAGAAAAGCAAATAGAAAAGCAAATAGAGAAGTAATATTTTGGTCCTCTTATTTCCAGCAGTCTGTCTTCCTTTCAGTAGAGATCAAGCTTTGAATTTGTAGTTACTACTGGAAAAAACTGATTGTGTATAAAGTGAAAAATGAAAGATAAAAGTGAATGAATCAGTTTGCTACTGGAAGCAAAGGTGGTCCATACTGGCTTTGGGATTTGGACATTTGTTTTTCTTTTATTTTGTGTGTGTTTTTTTTAAGAAACAGTTGCAAGCTGTTACATTGTCTTCTCTGCTTTCTTTAGATGCTAATTTATCTTTTCCAATTTGGCTCCTGAAAAAAAGCAAAAAATACGAAGCTACCTCTTAAGTTTGAAGCAATCATTTGGTTTTAGCCAGCCACTTTTTAGCCCTATCACTTAGGCTTTGGAGAGAAACAGCTTTTTCCTTTTTAAGTCCTGCTGACAGCTGAGGACAAGTAGCATTTTGCAAGAATCTGCACTTTCCTCCCAGAGCAAGCCAGTGTGCTCCCAGACAGCTGCACAATTCTGAAAGGAAACTGCCTTGACACCGGAGCCTTTACTAGGCTTTGAATAAATTTTGTTGGGAAGAAAAAAAGCTAAGCAAGGAAGTTTAGGTAAATGGTAGGGATGCATTATCTGCTGATGCTGGCTGACTTTGAAGGATTACATGTTTGTTGTTTGTTCACAACAGTTCTTGCCTCCAGCTAAGAGAAAATGAATACTGATTATGGAATTTTACAGTCAGTTGCCAGCAATGCCTCCTACCTGTCGCCTGCCAAGTTCTATGCTTCTTTCAAGCTCCATTTTGGCAGCTACCAGTTCTTGTTGATGGTTGTGCCTTAGCTGGTCAATTGCTGCTGCATGTTGATGATTTAGCTCTGAGCGCAAGGAAGCTAGTTACCATGAACAAAAAGAAAAGTTTATTTTGCAAATGTTTATGTTAATTAACAATAACAGTCCAACTCCACCAAGTATTGCTGCTGACCTAACACACACTGTTTACATCAGCTAAGCAGCTGTCCTGTCATTCTATTCCAGTTACTTTCTGAAACATTCTCCATCATAAAATTTGGTTACTTACTCCTTCCAAAAAACTTAAGGGCAAGATTTTTCAAAAGTGAACAGTTTGGGCTTACCTGTTAAAGTTTATGCTGATTATAAGAGGAACATCTAGGTCAGCACGACTCTGAGACACACTATGGTGTTATAATACACACACATGCACATACATGTATGTGCATGTATATTTGTATGTGTAGAAATAATGTTTTTGGACCCACTTGCAAATTTGAAAACAGTATACCTAACATAGCTTTTCCTTCATCCTCTAGCTCAAATCGTAGAGTCTGAAGTTCCTGTTCCATCTCCAATTTGAAACCTTCCATGGCTTGTTTATGCGTTTCTTTCAGCGCCTGAAGTTCTTCTGAGTGCTTCTGTTGTAAACGTTCTTCTAATTCCTATGAAATCAAAATTGACACAATTTATTCTATACCAGCTTAGGGAATTTACAAAATATTAAACAACTGGCAACAAAAAGCAGGCATTGGCATACTCTAGAGATTATTAAAAATGCACTAATATTGCTCGTATTTTCTTCTCTCATTAAGTTATCCTACTGCTGTATTTTTTTCTTTTCAGTGGCTGATGGTTATTAAGATTACCTGTGCACAAAAACTCTTTTCTACTCACAGTTGGAAAAGAGAAAAAACCCACTCCATGGATATATTTAAAATAGCAAGCAATGTGATAAGGTGCAGAATCCATAGACGGGTCTGGTGTGCACACGATCCACATTTGGGGATTTTTTGCTCCCCATTGACACCCATGTTTACTCTCTATTGAAGTGTATGAAGCATCATGTTCCTGGTGCACAACTCCTAGTTTCATTTCAAACAAAAGGAATCCACCTTGTGTGCCCCGAGACCAGTCTATGATGTGAACCGAAGTACATTAAGTGGGGACAACAGGAAAATTGATTGCAAAGGTACAGTGTAGTTCTGAACTGAAAAAAACTTAAGACACATACCCTATTAAGTACTATGCACTGCCAAAATTTCAATTTTAAAGCTGGCTTAGTCAAGGTTTTAAAAAAATATCTTGGGTGTGACATTGTTCTGGACATGAAAATTATCTTGGTAGTTGCAGAACATAGTTTATACAATTTTTAACGTAATGAAAATATAAAATACATTACAAAAGGAGTCAATTGACAGGAAATATCAGAAAACGTATGCAAAATTAGGTAAATATAATGGAAAATACAGAGAAACCTATTCCAAATCGAAACTAGAATATAATGTTATGGCTAACAATGTCAAAGTACTGTAAAGAGATGGTGTGTGTTGATAATAATTTTACATATATATACACATACCCCTATATATACATATACTGGTAGAATATAAAGCAAGACATGAGACAATGCCAGTATTAGAGATGATTTTCAATATGTCTTAATCAGACTTAACTGGATAAAAATGTTACTATAAGGCATCAGCTGAAAAGGAAATTCAGTAGTTATGCAGGTACTTTACTAATTCCAACTGTGCACATAAATTGCTAAAATGACAACATTCTCTACATAATTCAGAATATCCATATGAACGTGCCTTTTGTTCTTGCTCTTTTGTTTCTTCCATGTTTTGAAAGGCAAGTATATGGGCTTCCTGAAGTGACTTATGCCTTTGCTGATGCTCCTCTTCTAATTCCTGGATCTCCTGAGTCAGCCTCTGTCGCTCCTGACTGAACTGGGCTTGTAGCTGTTGCAAAGAACTCTGTGACTGGGAAAGCTGCATCTCCAGATTCTGCTTCAGTAAGGAGATCTAACCCACAACAGAACAGCAAATACCCATTAGTCATTAATACTAACATCAACTCTAAAAAAAAAACCATTCAAAATAAGAAAACACTTGAAATTCTAAAGCCAGAATGTTAACTAAAAGACAGACAAGCAATGTCATCCATCTACTGAATTTGTTGTGAATATTATATCTCAGAGATACAATAATTACATTTAAATAGTTTTGTAAGGGTTATCACATCTGTCAGTTCACACTACAGCACTACCTGTAACACAAGTTTTCATGGCCAAATTATCAAAATTTACTTCTAGGTTTTATATAAAGATCAATAAAAATGATGCTATCAAGGTCTGAGATCAAACACTTGATTGTTAAGATAAACTACTCTTCAGGGGAACATCATGACAACTGTGTAAGGAAAATCCTGCAGTTGATAGGGGAGGATAGCCTGTAACATCTAGATTGACTGATCTCTTGATATGATATGGTCCTATCTTATTGCTAGTTTTCTCTTTTAAAAAGAAATGACAGCATACCACTCTACATCACAAATAAAATGTTACACTTGATGGATTCCCCACACACACTTTTTTTGTTAGCTCAGTAATACTATGAGAGTGATTTTTCTGCTGGTTTTCAAGATCTAAGATCTAAGTAATCCGAGTCACAAATGCTCATTTTCTTAGAAATACTGGATTTTAAAAATTATGCTTTTCACCCAACAAACATTTTACTACATTAGAGTACATGGTACTCCTTGAAAAAGTCTGATTTTCTTTTTATAACAATGTTATATTTCGTTCTTCACATCAGATACCATCTTTTCAGTCTGAAAATACTAAAACTGTATTCCCTTTAGAGCCAAGCATAAGAAGGACACCCTCCAATTCTGGAAACAAGAGTTAACCAAAAGAGAATTTTGCTACAGTTACTCAAGGGAATGAAAAATAAAATTGCCATGTGACAAAGAATTTGAATCAGTAAGGATACCTTCCAAGCCTCAGAGCATTACATAAAATTGAATTTTAAATGAAAGTCTGATAGTGTCGTTTGATTCGGCATATCTTAAAATTAATTATGACAAATTAATAACAACATTGCACATCAATTTATTGATTTTTCAGAACATTAAAACCCACCACTTAACAAAAAATCAATAGCAGCATACCAAGGACAACTTGCAGCACAAACATTGTTGAACACGTGGGGTGGTTTGGTTTTTTTTTCCAGAAGGACACAGCTTAAGCAGATTTGAAAGAAAAAAGCTACACTTAAAGGAAAATTAGCACTAAAACAAAACAAGCAAATTAATTTGAATGAAATGAGCATGGCTTGTTGTATTTCAAATTCACCAGGTCTTTGTGTCTGGGCATATATAGTCTACCTTCTAAGTATGCTGTATCAACAGTATTTTACTTCAGATACCTTTGAAATACATTAGCTACAATTGAAGGACTATAGTGAAGGCCTATACTACATCCTGTAATCTGAACTATACATGTAAAAGCTTTTACTAAGTACATTAAGTATAAATTTCACATACAAATTGTACAGTGTCAGACCAAAGGTTTGTCTATCTCCTATTCTGCCTCCAGAAATGGCCAATGTGGGTTACCCAGGGAAAACAAGGCCAAGTCATAAATGCAGGGATCTTGACTCCAAAGTCTAAGAGCATCCAGCAATCTGTCTTAAACCAAAGAGGTATTTTGGGGTGAATCATGGAAGAAACATTAATTAAATACAACCACTCTCTGAATCCATAAAAGCTTTTAGTATCCACAATATCCTATGGCAAGTTCCATACAGACATGCCAATTTGACTTGATGACCTCTAATACTTGTAATAGAAAGGAGTCAAAAGAAGTTCCCTTGTTCTACTCGTGTTTCTGTAGATCTCCATCATTTCCCTCCTTACACCCTTTTCTATACTAAACAGTTTTGGCTTAATGAATCACTCCTTGTGTGAAAGTTATTTCATATCTATCATCACATTTCTCCTACTTTTGCCCCTTTTCTCCTATTTCTTTTTAAGATTAGGAGACCAAAACAGCATAAGGTATTTAAAATGAGAGTAAACTCTGGTTTTATACGGTGTTTTATATGGTTTTACATGTTATGTTCTCTGTTTCTCTCCTATATTCCTACTGTTTTATTTGCTTTTGTGACTCCTACTGGGCACCGAGGTGATGTTTTTATGGAATTATGTATTACAGTCCCCAAACCTCCTCTCTAGTTGTAACAGGTCAAGGTAAGGTTCATCATTTTACACAAGAAGTTAGAATTTGTTTTTTTTCCTTGCATATCACTTTGCATTTATCTACACTGAATTTCATCTGCCATTTTATTGCCAAGTCCCTTGGCTTTTTACAGCTCTACCCTGAATAACTTTTTATAAGCTGTGAACTTTCCCACCTTACTTATTCATAAACAACCTGCAAAAGAAAATATGTCTAACATCAGTGTAACTCCACTGATAATCTACCTTCACTGTGGTAACACTGTATTTAATACCTGTCTTTCAACCAGTTACTTATCTACACAAAAACTTCCCTCTCGTATCGTGGATTTCTAGTTTCCTCAGAAGCCCCAGAACTTCTCGGCCAATCTCTTTCAGCATACCACGGCCAGGGCTGCCATGCTGGTTAGACAAACCAATAACGCAACCACATATTGTATTCTTTCTCTTCAACTCTAGAAACTCACTCCACTGATGTGGTTAGTTTGCACCATGCAACTGCCAGCATGGCCAGCTCTGAATTTTCATCTGTGTATCATCATCTGGTATTGCAATGTGCTATTGTCTTCCTTCTCCAGGAAAAAAAAATAAAAAAAAAGGTCTATCGGGGAAAAAAAAAAAAAGTCTATCTTACCTAAACTCCCCTTTGATCTACTCACATCCCCATCTACTCTAATTCATCCCACGTTCACCGTTGGGTCCTTCTCTCTTTCCTCACCTCTCTGTAACCTCATACCTGCCTGCATCCTTCTTTTCACCTGTAAGCCTTGCCTTTATTTCCTGCTTCTCTGCCAGACTACACCTAGCAAAAACCAGACCCTGTCTGGAGATCTATTTTTCCCCTGTGCTTTTAGGTAACTCTTACGCTTCTTTAGATTACCTCTGCTCCTATTTAACCACCATCCATAAACTCTCAGGTTTGTTGGGCTTTTTTGTTTGTTTCCCTGAGACCACTACTGCAACTTGGCTCTAGCCCCTCTAACTCCTTGTCTTCCATCCTCCCATACTCCAGTATCTCTCCCCTTCCTCCTCCCCTCCTTTGCTCTTTTTCTTCTTCCTAACTCCATTTTTAGTATCATAGGAATGTGCAGTTAGGATAGTCTTAAGAGATTATTCAGTCCAATTCTTTGCACTAGGAGGGAACGCTATACACAAATTACTGCTTAAAAATCTTGTATGAAGGAAATCCCACAATTTTCACTCAGATCCTCTTCCTCCTCCTCAGAGTGCCTGTGGCAGAAACACTGAGATACTGGACCAATGTTCTGTCCATGCTTACTTGTCCCTTCCACCATGTTTCTGTCCCTTGGGTTTCTCACCGTTGCCCTGTCCTGTCCACCATGGCCACCAGGAGGTACAATTCTAGGGGAACTCCTGCTCAGTCCTGCAGAACCTCAGGTAATTTAATAATCATTCTCTAAAAAGCCTTTCATGATAATATTCAAATGGAGTCCACCAAGGTATCTTAGCCAAATTTTTCTTAAGATGACACGAAAAAATGTATTTTTGGCTTGCAGTTAAATCTGTCTCTCACTTAAGTTCCTGTGCCAAATTCTGGTAATTCTCAGTATATCATTTATAAACATTTTTCAGCATAGGCCAAGGGCAAAACAATTTTATTTTCATTTCTTTCTTGGAAATGCAGAAAATATTTTAACCGAGATGAGCAAGAGAAGTCTGACATCTGGCCAGGAAGCCATCTTAGAAGAGATCAGGAATACCCTTCTCAAGAGCAGTTCACACTTCCACCAAATTGAAGTGACTGCAAAACTGCAGCCTGAAATGAGTCAATCTCTGGAGATGCCTACTTGCATGAACAGACTATACAGAAAATAAAGGACAATGAGGATTAAATGATTCCAACAAGCAAGTCAGATCAGTCTACCCTTCTAATAATTTTTTTTTTGTTGAAAGTACATAAAATATTAAAAATCTGAGTTATTTTTAGAAGAATACATAATTTTAAACATAATTTTGATTACTCAGTACATATACTGATATCCTTAAGACCACATTTTTGAAAACATTAGTGCCTCCCTTTGCATGTCTTTGGAGAATCCCTTCTGTATACTCCTATTATTAAGGATTCAAAAGAAAACAGCTCTAAACATTATTCTCTGAACTTTCAGTACTTTTATCCAAGGCTTTCAGAACATTAAAAACATTGGTAAGAATTTTAAAAATAAAAAAATAGAAAGAAAGAATATTTGGCTACAATTATGACTTGCACTGCGAAACTGCAAATTATAATACAGCATCAATCTCATGCTTTGTAGAAAGCTCTGCAATACACATTTACACTGCCCACAAGCTCGCTTGCTTTAACAATGACATCAAAAAGCTGCTTATATTATGACCATGTATGTAGTGTTTGATGTCCAGTGATACACACATTTACATAGATGAATGCATGCAGTACATGAGCTTTTGGTAACTAGCGGCAAACGTTCTCCTCTCAAATATTACCATGTCTTCTATTTCATAGGCTAAAGCTCTAAAGCAGTACTAGAGGATATGCAGATTTATTAGTGCAAACATGCCCTGTTTACAAGCTGTAAGTGCAAATCACTTACATTGCTGATAGATTTATGCAAAGCTTCACCGAGACAGTGCCGCTATGAAGAAAAGATCACAGGAATAAAGGGAAACATTCAGAAATCAACTAAGTAAAAGAAAAAGGGATAAGGAAGGGAGAGTAAAACATAGAACATTAATTATAATTTGATCAGGGAAAAATAAGTTGAAGACTATCTGGAAAAAAATATGAATATGTTGCTTTGACTTA